ATGTAAATTGAAACAATGTTTGGAATGATGGTATTTAATTTAATGATTCTAATGTAGGGTTGTTCAAACTGGTAGTTGTTGAAATGGATGATAATAGTGGGGAAAAAGCAGGTGGTTGAGTTGATGTGACAATTGGAGAGGTGAAGATAGATGATGATGAAATATGTATAATAGTGGATGAATTAAGAGTGGGTTGAAAAATAGTTGATGAGAGAGTTGATACAGAAACAGTTGTTGTCAAAGGTGAAATAGTAAGAGATAATGGTTTTAAAATGACTTGTGGATTAGACATGGTTGATCCAGAGAAATGTGTCATTGTAGTTTTTAAAGATGCATTAACATATTCAGAAGCATTATCGGAAACGGTAGTAGGAAAAACAAAAGACTTACATGATTTTCTAGATCTAGAACCTAGACCCTGAGATTCAGAGGATTCAGTTCTTTGTTTCTTCTTTCCCTTTTTCTTTGTCTCAGAAGCCTCTGATAATCTTTTCTTTTATCTCTTGAAGTATCAACAAGAATTGGATCGAAAGTAGGAGTATCAGTCTTACTAGATGTTTCAGACGTTGTAGTTCCCATAATTGTTTCTTGAAGAAATATAGCTTTCTTTTTCTTCTTATTCTTCTTCTCTAGTTCAAAAGTGTTTGATCTTTTCTTTCCTTTTCTTAAACCACAATCAACTTATTTAGTAAGAAGTTTAGTGCAATCAAAATTGGAAATATCATGTCCTTCTTCATCCATCATCCGGACATATATGGCAACACTTGATACATTATCCATCTTGGAGAAAAGAGGATAGTCAATAATTGAAGTCCTTCTTTGTGTAATGTCTTAAAATGGTTCACCCTGATGTTTAACTTTAATCTTATCAATTATTTGCATGTTCCTCAAGTTATGTGCATTAAATGATTCTCCAATGCTGGAAGATAGATCTTCTGTGTAATTTGCTTCTTCCACCAAAGATTTTACTAACCCAATTTCCACAAGAATGTTAGTCAGAAGACTTCCAAAAGGGAGATAGGTAGGAATGTTTTTCTTAGGATTTGAAGTGGTTCTCGTCTTCTTAACAATATCCTTCAGATGATTGAATAAGACATAAGGAAGATTGATCTTCTTCTTAGTTAACAAATATTACAACATGAACTTCTGACTAAAATTAAAGTAATCAAAAGAGTTTGAAGCAGGTCTAGGGTTTATACTGCCCAGAATGATCTTGTGCCAAACTCTGAGGTTTGGATGAAGATCCTTGCTCTTGTATTTTATCTTCTCATCAGAGTAATTATTGAATAATACTTGATTGAGTGACTTATTTGCAAACTTCAATTTACTATTTGTAGTCTTAAACTTCTTTTCCATCTTATATATACATTTTCCTTCCAATAACTTCAAACCTAGAATATCAGCAATGTACTTTTCCGTTATGACAATCCTTAATCCAATGACATAAGAGATAATATGCATATCATCACAATCAGCATTCTTCTAGAAGTCTTTGACTAAATCTCTATAAACAGGATTGTGAAGCCTTTTAAAGTAGTTTTCCCATCCCTGAGCTTCTAATTCTTCTTTTAGGTCAACCCCATTATCAGCTAAATTGTCAAAATCAACCAAAAACTCTTGAAGAACATCTAGTTCTCATGGAGGAAGGATGCAATGAACTTGGGAGGTTTGTTGAGTGATTTGATTCTCATTAACTTATGTAGAAGAAGCAGTAGAAACAATTGTCTTTACAGAAGGAACTGATGTTGGAACGAAGGTAGATGATGATGAAGAGCCGGAAGTAACTGGTGGTTTTGATGCTTGATCAAATTCCTTTATGAACTTAAATGCTTCTTTTTGAGAATTGGTCGTCATGAGTTTGATTTGAAGAAGAAGATGAATGAATGTTAAAGTTTGATGAAGATTGTTGTCCGGGAACCCAGAAAAGTGATTGAAGGAGAAGAGAGGTTTAGGGTTCTAATTTGTGAAGAAGTGAGAGTGAACGTGTGATAGTGTGAGAAAGTGAGTTATATAGAGGGAGAAATAAATTTTAGTATTTAAATGTCAAATAAAGAATAACAATTTTTAAAGACACAGTATGGGAGGAAATAAATGAAAGCAATCATGAAAGAATCAATTCCAAGAAATCGCATATTGTTCATGATCTAGCTTAGGTAGTGTGTGATGATTAAGAATAATCAAGGGTCACACGCGTTACTCACTACGTCTAACTAACTGACGCGATCAATATACTCAGAATCTGGATAACTAAAGGTTTTCATCTGATTATAGATATTTCTGACCGAAACATCCTCTAATAACTGAGTCTATAAAATTAGCAAGAATATGATAAGTAAAGAGAGAAATGATACTGTCATATTCTTGAAGATATTCCATCTGTCTTTAACTTTTGCTTTCTCTTAGATACATCTTCTGATCAACTTCTTTCTTCTTATGATTTCTTTAGAGCGGTCTTTAAGAGGTTCTGAATTATCTTCATATTAATTCCTCTTATTTCTTTGATTATTCTAAGTTTTCTGATTTGAGAACAATAACCTTCTTCTGAACTCTAATCTCTAATCTGAGAGCTAGGATTAGTCTTCTCTTCAGATGATCTCTTCATTTTTCTGTTTAGAATCACCTGTCTGACTTCTTGAGAATAATCCTCAGAGTATAAATATTTTGATCCTTTATTATCAGAACATCCATTTGTTTGTCAATCTAACTATTTGCACTAAAGCAATGAGTTCCTTCCCCATCAAGGAGGTAGACACCAATAAAAACTCAATATATTTCATTTCAAAGGAACCAGTAGGTTTCCGAAACCCGCTACTATAAGATTGAGAATATTTCTTTGGCCTTGGTCGTAGAGTCAAGAAAACTACCACACTACATCCTTGTACATTCGTTATTGGTTTGTACGTATCAACCATTGAAGCGAGCCTTCTTTAGACCGGATTTAGCTGCACGAATGATTGAGTAAATAATTGAAATCTTAGAGTTTGACATCTCTTTTCAACCCAGAAAGGCCCTCAATTCCAAAGTATTTTAATATTTCATTGCTGATCTGACCCCAACATAAAAGTTATGTGAAAAATGGACGTCTTTACAAATGGGTTGTCAAATAATAGAGAGAGTTAAGACATCCTTATTCTTGAGAGAGATGTTAGGCTCGTAGTAAAGGTGTCCAGCATTTGGAATTCTCCACCAAAAATAACCAGGAAGAGTACAAACAATTCATTTTAGGTTCATATTGGCATCAAAGATGTGAAATGTTGCGTTAGTAACAAAAGTAAGTTTTACAATTATCGTATACATAGAGACCGACGATTTTAAGGACACTTTAGCAATTTTTTATTATTCTAAGTAGTGTGGTTATTGTCATACGAAAAAGTAAATGATAAAAAGTAAAGTTAGAGATTTAGGTGTTATTAGTAAGAATGCTTGCTGGAGGTTGATTTCATCATTACGTATTTGTCATGACATTCCTAGGTCAGTAATAGGCTCCTTTACTCAGCTTATAATACTATCAGTTGTTACCCTCATTTGAATCTCATTTTTGGTCTCCACTTTGTGAGATAAGTATGTTACCCAATAGCTGATATATTAGAATACTAACCAACATATAACATTAAGTTCCAACAATAGTAAAATAGCGAGACTCTATTACCAATAGTTCTACAATACATGTGGATATTGAGCTTATACTTATGTCTAGGATTAGTACTCAATAAATGATTATCTTGGATCAAGTAATGACAAACACCTTTCATGTCTGGTCATACCATGAAAAATAGTTTGAGGTTGCAAAGCCAAAATAAGCATTATGATTAAAGCCTCACCAATATTATAACATGCATAGATTTACATAGAACTCCATGACCTATTTAGTACATAAATGTAATTACTACATGTAACTCCAACAATAGAAATTTTAGCTACACTTACTCATCGTAGCGTAACAGCTGGTCTTTCTAGAGAAGTTGACCTTGAAAGTGGTATATGCTCTATCACCTGAGCAGCACTTCCGCCTTCACACTTTCTCTCTTATTCCCTTGTTATAGAGTCGAGTGAACCTACTCCAATTATGTACTCCTCCAATCCATAAAAACTCCCTTTGCACTGAATTAGAACTTGTTATTTATAGGCAAAATTTTGAGGCTCCCGCTAGACGCACAATCCTTAAGCCCATCGCGCTTACTCTGCACTGCTAACGCTGACCAGCCAACTTTTCTTCTTTAACAAACAATGCTTGTATGTCTTCCACGTGTCCTTGGTTTCCTTTTTCCCGTCCAGTGCACCACCCCTTAAACTAGCGCACTAACTCGTGCTTCACCATAAAGTACTTGCATCTAGTCATGTTACCTGGCCTTGTTTGTGCCTAGCACGCCTATAGATTGGGCATAACTAGCCTTTCTTCCTCAGGATTTTATTTTTTCTATTTTCTACATGCAAATTCATGATTTTCCAGTTCTTTTCACATGTTCTTTTATTAATGTATAAAAGAAAAGTTCAAACAAGTGTCTTACTTTTCATAGATAAATGGGAGATTTTTGTAACAACTGTATATTTAACGTCAATCTGACACTTATCAGGAATATAAAAGATTAGGATGCATACAAATTCACTCCTAGTGGTCTCCCAAGTTAAAAGGGAGGCACAATCTAAACGCCCGTCACTGCAGAAATGACCAGTCATGGCTAAGGGCAAGATGTGTTTATTTAAGGTGTATTAGATCACACATATGTTGAGTGTTACAGGACGGAAAACATCATATCCGAGATGGGAAGTACTAGAGTTATAGAAATCAACCATAACTTTACTAAGTCAAGAGAAAAGCAAGCTCGTACTAGATCATATGGGATGATTAATGGTTATCTTTATAGTAGACGATTGGACTCATTGTTGATATTTAAATAATACTAATGATCATCATAATTTGATTGATTTTCTATGCATGTTCATACATAAAGAGTACAAATTAAGAACAATAGAAAATTGAGAACATTTACTAATTAAAGTCAAAGTCCAGTAGTGCCAATCAGTTTGGTGAAACCAAAAGTAATGGCCATAGCCATCCAACCACCAATAAGAACCCTAACACAAGACCTCATCACTGGAGTTTTTCCAACCAATGCTCCAATTCCTCCAAACACTAACAGTGCCATGCTAACAACAGCAGCAACAGCACTCATCCTAATCCTATGATCCTTTATAAACGCAGCCGCTAGCAATGGCATAACAGCACCAACAGAAAATGCTAGTGCTGATGCTAAGGCTGCCTGAAACGGATTCGGCAATTTCTCCCTTTCGGCACTTTCATCATTAACTACTCCATTAGTATTATTAGCTTCTCTTTCTCTTTTCATCTGAGCTACCTCAATGTCATATTGTGTATACACAGACACAAACTCACCAATTGCCATGCTACAAGCACCAGCTACCAAACCAGCAAAACCTGCAAGAAGCATCACACTGATGTCTTCTTTTATAGCTCCAACACCAATCATCAATGAGGCAACAGTGATTAATCCATCGTTGGCTCCTAACATGGCTGCTCTAAGCCACTGTGCTCTTTGAAAGTAATCAATGTTGTTGCTCTCTTTTTCAGTTTTGAGAGTACTATTAGCATGCATAGGTATATCAATCTCCAAACTGTTTGGTGTGATTCCATTAACTCTTGCTCCCAGTTGGAAGGCCATTAAGGACAAGTTAAGGTGCAATACTTTTGGTATATAAAATAAAAGGAAGTTGGAATATGATATTAAGAGCTTGTGGAGAACTCATGCTTCTAATGAAAGGTATTTATAGATAGAGAGAGGATATGATTAATCAACTTTGGGTACAGTGTATATTCATCGTTACATAAATTAATATTGATCTGAGGTAGTGAGGATGGCACTAGCTCTACAAGTTGGTGATATTTTTTTAATTAAGCATTAATTTTGGCATGCATTTAAAAACTCATTACCTAAAAGTGGATTCTAGTCTCAGATATTCCATCTTAATAAACTTATAGTATAATAGCATACAACTTTTTTTGTTCAGTTATGTATACGTTTTATATTTTATATAGACATTTCGAATATTAGGAAGCAGAATATAAATAGATTGTTTCGGTCGGATCTTGACCCAAGCCATATAATGTATCATTGGGTTTAAAGCATAATCACACCGTTCACAATTCACTTCGGTTTGTGGTAAGAATTTGGGTATGCAGTATTTAACTTTAAAAAAATTGAATACGTGGAATATGCATAATGGATATGTTATTTGAGTTCGTGGTAGGTTGTTTGAATTGGTAGTACATTTAAAGGTAATAATCCGTATATTACAACTAAAAAATTATTAATATCAAATAATAAATGATGAAAAAATTGATTTTTTTTTTTGGAATAATTAGGTATTAAAAAAAATTCGTAAATAACCATGTTTCGGAGAAAATTACGTTAATAATCATGTTTCAGAAAATTCTATAAGGGAGGAGACAACCCAGTTGGCGCATGCACCTTATTTTAAAGGGGAGGCCCCATCTCACTTGGCGCCTATGTGTAAAAGGTTTGTGTTGTATCCCAAAATTTGCCCTCCCATATTTCTCAATACATTCACTAGTGCAGAAATGACTTTTTATATCGGGTGAAATTGACTTTTTACATCGGTTTTGGGTCTGATGTAAAGTCAGGCGATATAGTAAATCAGGGACTTTTTACATCGGTTCTGGGACCGATGTAAAAAGTCCATTTTTTACATCGGTTATAATATCAGAACCGATGTAATAACCTGTTATTACGCACATTTTTTTTTAAAAATTGATCCAGTTTTTTACATTGGTTGGAAGTAATACCCGATGTAAAAACTCCCTTTTCTACATCGGTTATAATATATGAACCGATGTAAGAAACAGTTATTATGCACATTTTTTAAAAAAATTGATCCAGTTTTTTACATCGGTTGGAAGTAATACCCGATGTAAAAAGTCCCCAGTGACGCGACTTTTTACATCGGTTATTATCCCTAACCGATGTAAAAAGTCCCTTTTTGAAAGTTTTTACATCAGTTTTTACTAATAACCGATGTAAAATGTATGAAATTTTTTTGGAATAGATTATTTATTTTCTGGGTTTCCCTATACAAATATAATTTATATCCATTTTTTCATATTTTTCCAATATCAAACAGACTATATTTATGTCGTTATATAGATTTCATAGCTTTCCAACATCACATATATCACATTTAGGTCGATGTTTTCATATTTTTCACAACAAACTTACAAATTGAACAATTGTATTGCAAACTTGTATTGTATTACAACAAATAAACTTACAATTACAAATTTTTCACAAAATATAAAACAATATTCAACTATTTATAAGTCTTTTTCAAAACTTACAATTACATAATATTCACAAAATATACATATACAAAAATATTCAACTATTTCTAAGTTTCCAAACTTGAATTACCAATATAAAATCTTCGGTAGACAACACCAAAATCATATTGCCTGACAATAAATAATAACAATTAACATCAGCAAAAAAAATCAAAAAACTCAACACATGAGCAAAAACCACATGTATTGTGCAAAAACCACAACTTATACAATTCTATAAAACTCACCAAGATAAACTTAAGTTCCATGTAACTCAAAGAAACATTTTGCCCAACGAAGTCGCAAATCATACAAATCATTTGGTGTTAATTCTGTTGGGTCATCAAATACCTATAATACATAAATATAACGATATAGAGTTATTTTTAAAAAATTCATATTAAGTCGAAAAACAAAAAGTAAATAACAAAGTAAAGTTATTTTTAGTACCTGCATCCAATTCTCGGTTATATTAACAGAGACAATATCCAACATATTTTTCATCACATAGTATCCACAATCATTAGAGTTATGTTGTTGTCTTGTCTACAATTGAATGACATAATTAGTGAATATTTATCATAAATTTAACTTTAGAATTACAATTTATATCACACTTACATTGGGATGAAGCCATGTAGCCTTTTTTCTATTTCCATTTGCCATTTGATGAATCCCAAAAGAACTAATACAGAAAGATATAAACATCACATAACTAAATATACTCGCCAATGAAAAATCACATAACTATTAGTTGTCAATGAAAGTCACATGAAAGATAAACTTACTTTGTAATAATTTTCTTCGTGTTCTGGTCAATTTCCCGATGAAGTGAACAAAATACGACAACTAAATTGTCTCTTGGACACATGACTATTAATTGCCAATGTCTCCTGTACGTGTGTGTGGAAACAGAAAAGTCGCATAAAATATATATGTTATCAAAATTAAATAATATAAAACACAATTTCATAAAAATTCTTACCCATGAATTAATGGTAGTAAGTGGCACGCTCTGTTTTCATCACGTAACTTTTCTAGCACGTAATTTTTAACATCTTCTTGAGATTTCGCTACATTATCATTATAAATACACCTAGCAGGGTCCATAAATCCATATAATTCTGAAATGGAATTCTCAAGACAAACACGATGAATATACCTGAATAATTTTAAAATTAACATTAGAATCAAAGTGATGAGAGATATAACATATTAATAGAGATTGACTTTAATAAAACAATAAAATGTACTTACGTACACCAAATTTGCAGAATAGACACGTCAAGCCAATGACCTAAACCCACCAATAACTCTCTGATACATTTAGCTGAAATATAAAAATTAGAGACACTCGCACAATGACTTAATTGTATTGCCAAATGGTTATCATCCAATTTCAAAACCATGAGTAACAATCTCTGAACATCATCAACTTCCACGTCTTTTGTGCTCTCTTTTGTGCTTCCCTTTGCAGCTGAACAACTTCCTTTTCCGCTTCCATCGATAATTTCCAATTTTTCAATGCATTTAATATCACATGTGCTTTGTGATAAACCCATAGACTTAAGTGTCTCCATTAATGATTGCTGAAACATCTTACGCTCTTCAACCAACTTTTCTTCAAGTTCAACTCTAAGTTTTGTTTCCAATATTGCAAGTTGTTCATTTACGTCGATATGTTGACTTTTTCTTCCAAAGTAAGTGCTTTGTTTATGGTGTTTTCCAACACCACGAACACGACCTCCATGCTCAGATGTTCCAATGGCTAATGATAAGATATCGTTACGTCCATCTGTAACAATTGCACCTTTTTCAGCTTCTTGAACAAGAGAATCCTACAAAATGCAAAAACATCAATTAATCAATCACAAATATAATGATACTTGAATAATTTTTCGTTGTTTACTTACAATTTTTTCAGCAACCTCTTGTGTAGATTTTGATGTGTATTCTCCTCCTTTCTTTTGTCGTGCTCTCTTCCATAACTCATGGCGTGATGGTGGAGATGGACTATTATTATCATCTAATGTGGAATTATCTCTCGATGATGACTTTTCTTTCATAATTTTCTCCTCAAGTAAGCGATACCCTCCACGAGACAATACATGTGGGTATAAATTCTTGGCCACATTATCCTTACGCTTCTGACTTTTTTCCTATTATAAACTCAAACAAGTAATTAATCACTAAATATAATAAAAATGTTATGCACACAAAAACATATAACTCCTACTAACCTTAAATTCAGGGGTATCTCGAATCTTGAGAAACTCTTTCCAGGCGTCTTCTGTAATAAAGTTATACTTGACATATGGAGGAGGATCATTTTCTATGGGATGATGAATATATCTATCTGTGAGTTGTGTCTTAAAACCTCTCCATCGCTCTCCCGCATATTTAATCCATTCTTTCTTCAACCTATCCTTCTTTGGATCTTTACATTCTGGAATAGTAAAATGAGCCTACAAATGTAGTATATGTCATATGTTGTTAATTAGTATATGATTATAAAATATAATAAAGTATTGTATTTAAAATACCTGAATATCAGTCCAAATAGCATCTTTTACGCCTTCATCTACTTCTTTCCAATCATTTTTCACAATGCTACAATACTGTCGAGCAAGAGATGCTATATAACTCTTGAAATGTGTAGCATTTTTACCAACACCAATACATTCATAGGTTCTTGCATTAAACTCGACCTTTATCTTTTCACCTGTTTGATGAACTTTGTCAATTTGTGTCATTAAAGTGGGACCTCTAACTCTTCTTTTATTGGGGTTTGAATCACCCATGTATCTGTTTACACAAAACAAAAATAATTAGAAATAATATTAAGCACAAAATAAAAACAATTAGAAATAAAATTAAGCACAAACTAAAAACAATTAGAAAATAAAGTAACGTGGAATTAACTTATACAAAAAATCTTACTAGTCCTCCCATATCCCTTCTTCATGGTCTATGCGAATAGCATGCACATCATCCCCTTCATTTTCTTCAATGAATGTAGTCACATCTGTTGAGAAAGGATGAGTTTCAGAAATATCAAGATTCTCATCATGATTTTCATCACTATCATGGACCTTTCCTTGTAAAACCATTGACCACTTTTTATTAGAAGGATCTGTGACATAAAACACTTGTTTTGCTTGAGATGCCATGATGAATGGTTCGTTCGCATAAGCTAACTTGCTAAGATCAACCAGTGTAACTCCAAATTCATCGATTCTGACACCACTGTTGATATCAATCCATTTGCATTTAAATACAGGAACTTTAAACACAACATAATTAACTTCCCAAATCTCTTCAATCACC